CAATGTATCATAGTGGCATTAAACTCCTTACAAAGGAATCGTATAAAGTTTGTGTAGTAAACAGTTAACAACATCTTTTTGGTCCATAAAAGATTTTACACTTCCAAAGCAAAAGGAGTTGTTGTTTAGCTTCTTTCTCTTGTGCGTTAAACCCGACTTTAGAATCTTTGCCATCTTTTTATTCTTTTATACATATATTTTCTTAGGTGAACTGAGACTACACACAAATTTTGATTGAAACTAGTTACTCAAAACAATATGCTAGAGAAGTAATGTATGGTGCATATACACAAAGATAGCCGAGGGCAAGAATCAACCTCGAATTCAATCAAGCAAACTGTATGACTTTCTTGTCTCAGAATCTTCATTTGTTTGAAACCAGGTTTGCCTGCAAGATGAAAGTAAAGTTGACCACATGATTCTTGACAACACGGAATTTAAAGAAAGCAATGGACCAAAGGAGGGCCATTCAATCAAACATAATGGAGTACTCACGCGCTCAATAGGCTCCTCAGTTCTTCTTCGTTTATATTCTCCCCAAGCTTACCAATAAATAAGGTATTGCAAGGAGGACTATCCTTAATATTCTGCAATCGAAAATATAGAAAACGAAATTTATCAAAATTTTTAGCATAAGGGAAACTGGTAAGGCTCTAAACCTTGGAGGTCATTTGTATGCAGAAGAAGAAAGAGACGTGGGAATAATGAAGTCATAGAGGAGAAGCTGGATGAGGTGGCACATGTTGTGACTTAAGTCAATTGAGTCTTAAGTAAAGAGAGTCGTCTATGAGTAGAAATAGACCCTTTGCGTCTAGTAGTCTTTCATCTTGAAACTGGAAAGTATCCAAGTTCAGCGTATCTAGGGAATTGACTCAAGGTAGAGGAAGCTTGAGTCAATTGGATCTGCAGTTCCTCTTTGTTTGAGTAAAGATTGGGTTTGGTTCTTATCGGAAACTAGTTCATGTAGTGAATTTGATTACATATTTGGTTTGGGTTAAAATTAGTCAAGTGTAAAAGTTAAGAGCACAATGAAAAAAGCTTGACTTGGAAAAGGTTTAGTTTTCCCAAGGAACAATATATAATGCTCATCTCACGAAAGAAAACCAACATTCCACTCACATAGGATTTAAACTGGATTTCTTTTGGAATAGATTATAGAGTAGCAAGACATAAATACATTTTATAGAATATCAAGAGTTCTATAGATAATTACAAGCCATGTGCTTGGTGCTTTCCTTTTACCTCTTACACAATTAAATACCTTGTTGGATTTGAACCAAACTTGGAACATAACTGAGGAGAACTGGGGTCCAAGAACATTCTACCCACACCAAGATGACCCACTTGTAATAAATTAATTATTTTGTTTGATTAGCATCCAACTCATATATACATCAAACGGATGCAGTCTGCTTATAGAAGACTTCTTTTATTGAATATATACATCAAACCAATCCCATAGTTGAGAGCAGCTAAACTCCAAATCATGAGTTTTGCTTCCATGAGAATAGTTGGAGACTAGGACGCACCGCAATGGCCTATACTAAACATAACCGTAGCAGATCAACCAAGCTAGTGTGGCCCATTGTCAACAAGAGGGGGATATTTTCTAGTTAATTTCAAATACATTTGAGTAAAAACTCGAGGCTCTAGTGAACATTTTGGAAATCTCCTAGAGGGCTCTCTTTCATTTGTCGAGATATGTACCATTTTCAATAAAATGGTAGCTGACTGTATGTTGGACAAACTCACAAAAGCTTCTTTGATCTCCTGCCTTTTTGGACAATAAAATGGAAGAGATTCTTTGATTTCCTGCCTTTTGCACCATGGACGCTCCACCTCCGGGATTCGAATCTCAAGGTTTTCAAAACCCTAATCAATGGATCCCCCAAAATCCTCAACACTG